TCACCTGTCAATCTGAATACAGTCGGATGCATTCTACAGGAAAACAAATGAACCTGACAAACTACCAAAACTTTGTGTAGTAAGGAATATACTAATATACCATATACCCTTGTGGAAATAACAAGCTAACAGTACACGACTGAGTATATAATACGTGAAGAACGCAGGTTGAGTTGAGATGAAACCGCACACAAAAATGCAATGACACCGACTCTCTCACTCACCCACAGAAGACGGCACAGAAACATGTACTGCGTGAGGCAAAGGTGGAAGCAAAATTTGTTCCACGATTTCGTGGTGTTGTGGACCAGAAAGGCAAACCAGAAATGGGCCACAATCCGAGGTTGGGCCTGAGTTCGGCTGGATCTTTGAGGGGTTCTGGGCTGCCCGTGATAACCGCTGCTTGACCTCTTGATGCATCTGCTTCTGAGGAAAACATCGATCAGCTTGCCATTCTCGGGCAAAATCTACACAGAAAGAGAGGAACTAACAGCCCATATGGCCAATTCCAAGGGCTCCAAGAGGCCAAGTTGTTCCCTTATTCATTCTTCCTCTCTCCCAACGCACTCGCGGTGCTCAGAGCCCTCACATGCAAGCGCTCTGGCAAGCGCCACAGGCCGCTGGCTCGGGCGGCAGCCAAGTGCCTTTTTCAAGGCCGACACCGTGCACCAAAGGACCTGGAGTTCCTCCAACACATACGTAGCTAGAGAACCAAAAACAAGGACCGTTTGGTGAGAAAATACCCGAACCTGGTGGGTTCGTTCCATTTACGGACTATTCTGGCTCGTTCTGAGGGTCGACCTTTTTGTGGCGATCCCGACATGGACCCCGAAGTCATTGGTTTGTAGAGGAATATAACATGGTCCATCATCGGTAGATGAAACCTGCAGTCTGTGAAGTGCCAGATGATTTATATACAGTAAAGATTCATACTTTGGATTGTCCCGTGCTCTCAGTGTGATCTGTTCTGAAAATTCCCAACAAAATGACAATGAAGTCTGATGAGGCAACAGAAGCCAACACCCAAAAGTGTGAAACTGAAGGGCTCGCTGTGGATGAAGTCCCTTGAGAGAATCCTGTAGGTCCGACTATGTAGATTAGAGAGGCTATGGTTTCCCTTGTTACTACTAGCTTCTTGCTACTAGTAACAAGTGCATCGCTACTAGTAACAAGGGCATTACTACTATATTGTAACCAGAAGCTACGAGTAGCGATGCACTTGTTACTACTAGCTTCTTGCTATTCCAAAAAGAAAAAGGTTCCTAGGATCTGGTCATTTTTGATCAAAGGAAAAAGGTGCCCAAGTGGATGAAATTAGACTACAGTGTCTTCGGTCTCATCTTTCACAATTTGGAGACACAAGGGGTTTGACCTACCACCCTACACACCCTGGCCTTGCTGAAGAAGACGACAAATCCGTGCCCTGGGCGACACTTTTAGGACAAGATTGCTTTTTCCTCCGGTCAACCTCTTTCCCAACAGCATCAAGTAGATCTTTGCCAGTCCCTCTCACCGGTGATCCACCAGCCCAACGAAGAGGACCTTCTCATAGCAACCCCTCTCTCCAAAAAAAGGAACTTGGATCCCCTCCAACCGGAATCGCTAGGGTCGCTGAACTGAGCTTTTTCATCTTGGCGTGCCTTCTCATCGTGAAACATATACAGTAGTACTGTATGTGATTGATTCTAAAATATGAAAATACAAGCTCTTCTGATGGGGTCATTGCAGACTTCCTGATGGTCATTCAAGCAATATCTGGATAAGCATGTCCTCAAGAACTTCCACACGCTGCCAAACGCCTAGCAAAGACTATATCCTTTCAGTCTGCATTTTGCTAGGTTTCAACATGCAATACGCAGAAAAGACACACGGCGCTGTCAAGTCCTCGTCTCAGATAGGTAGCTCTCAACCAGCAGAATTCTCTGGGCTTGTTGCCACCCCAGTGTCGCCCAATGTGGTC